TCTGAAACCAATTTCCCCAGAGACAAAGTTAATCCAATTTACCTTAGATGTGACTATTATTTTCTTAATTACAACCTCTCCTGGTGGGTAGGTAGGAGTGTGACCAACTAAAGACTCACCAGTTCCACCAGCATCCTGACCCCCAACATTCTAACTCTTGATTCTTGGTCATCATGGCTGGCTTAGATCACAACCATCAGTTTCATAGTATAGCATACCATTCTGCTCATCCTTACAGCAAAGGGGTGTGGCATTAAAAAATATCACAAAAAAAGGACTCATGTGTCTAATCTTGTTGTTTCCTGCTTAATTGGCTATTGCTGGTTCTACTTCTGGCCCATTTATATGGCTAGGGCCTCTCAACGGATGACTAGGGCTTACTCAGGACTGTGTATCACCCCCTTGGCATACATACTCTGTAACTACTCAGACTATACAGCCCATAGCTGCTTAGGACTTATTTGGTCTATATGTTTTGAGCTTGTTCTGGGATCTGTCTGAAGCTGAGTGGCTGCCACCTTACTGTACCCAATAATTTAATGTTTACAAACAATGGTGCCATTGTCCTCCACCACCTTGCTGCAGGGTCTATCAGAGCAACTATGGGCAGGCTGGGTACCACTGCCAATGTCACTGTCAGGCATTTCAGTCATGTCTGACTCTCCAGAACCTTGTTTTGGGTTTTCTTGGCAAAGATACTAGAGTGGTTTGCCATCCTTCTCCATCTCAGATGAAGAATTGAGGCAAGTGACAAACAAGATTGGTTGTTGGCCTTTGTTCTCAAAGAGGACCAAAATGACATCACTATGTTAGAGTCAAGTCACAGTGTATCCAGCTGTGGCTGATCTAACCAATATGAACTTGGTGTGCTCTACCACAGGTTGGACACAAATAGTCCATGTGAATATAGGGATAGATTCTCTCAATTTGTGCATCTCGTGCAAACAAGATATGGACAGGATAAATAGAGGGTGGTCTCAGGGGAAGGCATTAGCATTAAGGAAGATCTCGAAAGGCTTCCTATAGAAAGCAAGATTTTAGCCAAAATTGAAGGAAGGCAGAGAAGCCCGGAAGTGGAGATGAAGGAGAGAATTCTATTCATGGGGGACAGCCAGAAAAAATGTTCACAATCAGGGGATGGAATGTCGTGTTTGAAGTGTAGCAAGGAGGCCAGTGTCATGGTGGTGATTAAAGTGTAAGAAAATTAGAAAGGTAAGAAGGGGCCAGATTATGAAGGGCTTTGAGTGTCAAGCAGATCATTTTATATTTGATCCCAGAGATGATAGGGAGCTTCTGGAGTTTATCGAGTAGCAGGGTGCAGTGGTTGAATATGTGCTTTAGAAAGGTTCCTTTGACAGCTGAGTGGAGGATGGACTGAGGTGGGGAGAGACTTGGGGCAGGTAGATCACCCAGCAGTTATTGCAATAGCCCAAGCTACACTGTCTTTTCCAAACCTTTTGATCCCTCCTCAAGCCTCCCATGGCTTTTCCAACCCTCCACCTTCTCAACTAAGAAACTTGCTTTATATATTATTTTAAAAATTGAGGCCATTCACTTAAATCTCCCTTTTCTCCTTTTCTTCTCATCTCACATTACCCAGTCTGTCATTATCTCTTCCTTCAATCTTGTCTTGCAAAATGAAGTGACCTTTCTCTTTTCCAAGGCAAATCCTTCCACACACCCAAATGATCTTGATGGGGATGGGACCTGGACCCTAAGAACCCCTGAAACTTTCCCATACGACCCAGCGTCTGAACCCAGATCTTTCCCTGGAGGAATCACCCATCCCAGATTGTCCTTTCATTGTGGCCCCATGCCCAACCCTTCATTCTTGTTACCCCTGACCCAGCTCAACCTTCAATTCTCTGTTACCTCTAGACTATCCCAGGCTATTCCCACCCTTAATCCCATCTAGACCCTTTCTCTGTTACCTCTGGGTCACCCCAGGTTATTGGTCACTCTTAAATCACAGCCAGATTTTCCCACAGTCTTTCTGTATAAAAGGTCCATCTTGTCCCCATGAAATTGCTCAGATTCTTAAAATCTGGCCCCCTTGTCAATACAAGCATCACACATAGGCAGATTCCTTAAGAATCTGGCCCACCCCAACTGACATTTTAATAAACCTTCTCTCTGACCGGAAGAAGACTTGAGTGGTTGAATTCTTTTGAGGCAGAACCCATACCTTTTGCCCTTGAATTTTGGGATTCTTAGCACCCCTAGACTGTAACAATCTCATTTCATCTTATTTCCTCCAAGTGATTACCCCCTCTATCATCCTCACTTTCTCATTTATCTTTAGTCTCTCCTTTTCAAAGAGTAGGTGTTCCTAAGGGCATGCCCATCAACCATGATTGGTCGACATAGTAGGAGGTAGGTGGGTTCTCAGTCCACAGGGGTGGATATCACCCACCATCAAAGGAAATGCCACCCCCAATCTTGGAAGTCTGTCTCCACCCAAACTTGAGTAGATAAAATCAATTCAGGCCTGGGTTGGAGTTTGACCAAGATAAGAAGATTCAATGAAATCTCATTATCAGAGATGTCTTTCTGAAGAATTTTGAAGCAGAACACTGGCAGGGTGGAGCTCTGAGTCTCCAGGACACAGATGACCAAGAGAAATCATTTTTAACAAAATATATGTAGATCTGCAAATGTATTATATATAACATACATATGTTTAACATCTCTATATGCATAAATGGGCCCCCACATGTAGTGGAAACAGGACCTACCACTTGTAAGGAAAGTGCTGAGTACAGAGTATGGGAGCCTATATGCAAAATGTGTCGGGCCTGGGTCCCACTTGCAATATTCCTGCACATTTAAAAGGAGTGCTCATGAGCAATAATAAAGAGGAAATCATTGCAGCTAAAATCAAAGGAATATTGATGCAGTGGAAAAAAGTAATCTTGGGATTACTTACCTGTAAAAATTAGCGTCATTTTATTAGCATTGGCGAGCAAGCTGGCCAAAGTTTAGATTTTCGGAGAGTCTGTGGGAAGACAGGAACATTAAGTTCTTGCTTATCAAATTGTCAACTGGTCTAACCATTTGGGAATACAATGTCAAATTCTGTTTGTTCATGCCTTCTGATCCTGCGATTTCAAAATTGGGTCTGTACTTCTAGAAGATTATGGAAATAAAAGATGCATATGAACTAAGAAAAGACTAGTTACATTATTTTCAATGACAAAAAACTGGAAGTATAATGTGTCCATTGATTGGAAAGTGGTTGAACAAATGTTGGCATATGAATGCAAAGGAATATCACCATTCTATAAGAACAGCCAAATGTGGAGAATACATATACAGATGAGAAGACTTGAAGCAGTGAAGAATAAAGTAGGGTCAAAGGAATTGTATACACAATTATTGAAACACTGAAAACAAAATCCACACTGAGAAGTAATTAAATTTTCATAAAGTATAATGGTCCCTACTAAGACTACACTATCAACATTTAAGGGGGTTTTCTTGTTTTGCGGTAATAATCAAACTATCGAAGAGGAAACTGACATATGCTATCAGTCACAACTCTATTGAGCAATTGAATTGTTTTCAGGATGCCTACTTTGTACTTTGACCAGGGATTTGTTTCAGTGTTTGTTGGGATGTGTTTTCAACTTCAGAGTGATGCTCAACTCTTCCCTCTCCCTCACCTCCCATAACTAAGTTGCTGTCCTCTTTATTTGATTTCCATAATGTTTCTCACATGTATCCCTTTCTCTCCACTCATGGCTCAAAGAACAGACAGATATCCTCATGGAAAGTGTGCTGGACAGCAGTTTGGTCAAGGAAGACTCCCTCCCTATTCATGAGGTTCAATGACTGGATGTGTTTGGACTTTTCTCAACCAGCTATGGAAGGAAAAGCCTTTAGGCTTTTGACAGAAGGAGGGAGAGTCCATTCCACCTGCTAAGGTCAGCAGCTGATGCTAGCAGCAGAGAGGAGCCAAATGAGCATATGCCTTCGGGGCCTCAGATGGCAGCGACAATGCCAGGCAATATTGCCCAGTGGCTACACAAGATGAACCAGAACCAACGCGTGACAGAGATAATGTATTTGGCAGATGCTGCATAGCATGAGGGGGGAAAAAAGCAACAGAAGAAAACAACAATAGCTTGGAACATGCCCAGAGGGAGAAGCACAAAGAAATCATCGGAAAGGAGAGGTCACCTCCTCTAGCCCAGGCAAAAGTTGTTCCTCCACACGTGTTCTAGCATGTCCACCTTTCTACATATGGTTCCTACACATACACCCATCTACATGTGTGCCCTGACCATGTGTTCTCTTCTTATCTGCCTATCTGTGTCCATTCTTCCCATTTATGGTATGAGTGCTCCTCATATATGGGGAGCATGTTTTATTACTTTTCTCTCTGTGTCATTTCACTAAATGCTGTTCTTTTGGAGTTGCAGAGGTAGCACGGTATAGCGACAAGATACCTAGCCTCAAAGTCCAAAGGACCCGGGTTCAAGTACCACCTCTGACATATACTTGGTAGTGACCCTGGGCATGTAACTTACCCTCTCAGTGCTTGAAACAAAGGGCATCTAGGTGGCACAGAGGATAGAATGCCAGGCCTGGAGTCAGAATACCTGAATTTAAATTTGGCCTCAGATACTTACTAGCTATGTGATCCTGGGCAAGTCACTTAACCCTTTCTGTCTCAGTTTCCTCATCTGTAAAATGAACCAAAGAAGGAAATAGCAAACCACTCCAGTATCTTTGCTCAAAAAGATCCTGAAAATGGGGTCACAAAGAGTTGGACATGACTGAAATGACTGAAAACAAAAACATATGCAAATAGATCCAAATTCATGTCTATCTGGTCATGTGTCTGTCTGTCTCTGCTTCTCTGTCTCTGTCTGGCTGCCTCTCTCTTTCACACCCACTTTTAGTCAGCCACAGAGAGAGACCTACACCAGGTAACAAAGCAAGACTTAGAGAGAGAATCATTTGAATTTAGAACAATCCTCGTTGTTAACGCCTACTTCTTACAACTTCTCTGACACGAGAATCTTCTCAAGTACCAACTTTCTTAGTGCTCCTTTCACATCCTTGTTCCTCAGAGTATAGATGAGGGGATTTAACAGAGGTGTGACCACAGTGTAGAAGAGGGAGACAAACTTCCCCTGGTCTTTGAACTTACTTTTGACTGGCTGGAGATACATGAAGATGATGGTCCCATAGAAGATGATTACGACCACTAGATGAGAAGAACATGTCCCAAATGCTTTATGACGTCCTGATGCAGATTTGATCCTCAATATGGCCTGGGCGATGTAGCCATAGGAGACCAGTATGAGAGAGACAGGCAATATGAGGAAGACCACACTGACTACAAAAAGCTCAGCTTCATTGAAGGTTGTGTCCACACAGGCCAGCCTAATCAACACTGGCACCTCACAGCAGATGTGGTCAAGCTGGTTATGACCACACATGGGTAGCTGTATAGTAAGAGAGCACTGGATAACAGAGATGACAAAGCCACTGAGCCATGCTGTGGCAGCCAAAGACAGGCAGAGCTGAGGATGCATGATGACTGCATAGTGGAGGGGGCGGCAGACTGCTGCATAGCGGTCATAGGCCATGACAGCCAAAATAATACACTCAGTGGATCCCAAACCCATGGACACATAGAGTTGTACCACACAGCCACTGTAGCTCATGGTCTTGTCTTTTTTTCCCATGGTGACCAATAACTGTGGGACAATGCAAGTGGTCAAGGAGAGGTCTACAAAGGACAGATTGCTAAGGAAGAAGTACATTGGGGTGTGCAGTTTGAGGTCTAAGCAGGACACTAATATGATGGTCATGTTCCCCACCAGGTTCAAGATGTAGAAGACCAAGATAACCACAAAAAGGACGGTCTCTAACTGGGGCTTGTCAGAGAAACCCAAGAGAACAAAGTCCTCTTGGGAACTGTTATTTTGTTCCATTGGCCTCCTGCTTTCAGCTTCTGTCAGGAATCAAAAGAGAGGGTATAGGGCTGATAGTCTGTGGAAAGAGATCATGGACATAAGTGCTGATGAATCTGCATTCTTTCTCAATAGGAAACCATCCTTAGCTATTGAGTGGCCTTTTGAGAAGATGCAGTAGCATTTTGGTAAATATGAAAACAAAGACCTCTAGAAGCCCAGGTCTTAGGAAAATGGAAACACAGGCTAAGCCTAACAGAGATTCCCAAATTTATTTGGCCTACCACCCCCTTTTCAAAAATAAAGCAATCAGTGTCACCCGCTAGAAATCTTTCCTTAACTTTTTAAAGTTTTTTTTTTAAAATTTGCATCACCCGAAGCTACTACTGCCCCTCCCCCATAGTTCCAGAACCCCCAGGGACTTATGGAAGAATCTCAAATAGCTAGAAGCAAGCTGTAGCAGAAAGATCATTAAAGACCCAGTCAAGAAACCTGGATTCCATCACTAATTCTTTCGTGAATTAGCTATGGATACCTTGGCACGGTATTTTGCCCTTCTTGTCCTGTTAACTCATTTATGATATGAATGGGTAAGACTAGATCAAAGACGCCTTCACACAGATAGACACAGATCCCCAACTCTCTCATTAGGCAATGAGGGAAACAAGCATCAATTAAACCTGCCACTTGACCTCACTTAGCCCAAGTACCAGATTTTCAATCAGTGGCATTGACATATATACATATACATATATATGCATATATATATTTATATGTATATGTGTGTATGTATTGATAATCATTTAAGATCAATTGAGCCCCAATAAGGACCAAAACCCTGAATTAATCTTTTCTCTCCGAGTGAACTAGAAATGCTCCTTCCTGTGTCAGCAACTGTGGGACCAGCTGGAGCTGACCAGCATTCTTCCTGTCTGTGATCACTAAGGACGGGATACCTGGGACCAGATACTCTCTTGAATAGCGGGACTTTTCTTATCTTGGTATCCTATGGACATAGGCTATGGAGGGGAAACACAGATATCCTGGCTCTATAATTTCAATTGATACTTTGACATTCTCCTATTTTATTGTATTTACAACCTATTCAACTAAGAAACTTCCTTTCTCATGCTATATGTTAAAAAAATATGGATGATATATATATATGTATATATATATAATATATATGTATATATAATATATATGTATATATAATATATATGTATATATAATATATATATATTATACATATATATATATTTGAGTAACACAGACTTCCTGAGTCAGGGTTTAAATGTCCTCCTAAAATTGCTTGATTCAGTCAGAGTTAAAGCTCTGGCTCCATGTACATGTCGCTAACTTAAGGGAATAAACAATATGAATTTACTTATTACCTAGCTTGTCTCTTTAACTGACTTCCATGTCAACAGTATATATAGACAGTCTATTATTAATGTCTGCCTTGTTTTGAAGAGCATGCCGTTTTATTGCTATTAGATTGAATAAAATAACTGTTAATCCAGTTTTAGAAAGAGTATGTACTTGATTTTTTGGGAAAGAGTTCGGTGATCATTCCAATTCAAACACTGGGTAAATTTAAGCAAATTACTGATTTATTGACTAAGGTGTACAGAACCATCTCAAGGGCTTAGTGTAATGGGACAACATTCTGGGGCCCTTGGTTTTTAGGAGACATAAAGGTTCCCAACACTCTGCTATCATGTTGCTGGATGAAATCATGACTATAATGATGATAATAACAATAAATATTAATAACATATTAACCATTGTCTGCTTTGGTTTCCTCATCTATAAAATAGGAATGATAATAGCACCTAGCTGTGCCCCAGGATTAACCCATCAGATACCTAACCCTACTTCCATTTCTAACCCTAAATCCAACCCTGAATTTCTATCTCCCTCCTCATTTCCACCTCTTCTTAGCTTTCCTGACATTCTTAAAGTTTCAGCTAAAGTCCCACATTCTTCAAGAAGCCTTCCTCAGTCTGCCTCAATTTGAGTGCCTTCCCTCTGAGATTACTCTTCAAATTATCTTGTACATATCTTAATTATGTAACTGTGACTCTATGGCCTCCACTGTCTGAAGGCCAGGTGTGTTACATTTCATCGTTTTCCCCAGGTTTTTCTGGTACCCTTAAAAAGGAACACAATCAGTGGCATCTTTTGCAAATAGTAGAGAGCAGACATTCCTTCTCACCCCTTCAAAGTTACTGGAGAACCCTGGAGGAAGGGTGAAATGTGACACAGCACACCTTCAGGCAGTGGATGGATACGTCCATTGTAAGTGATCTAGGTATGAGATAAAGACTCATTACATTTATACATGTTGACAGGGAGCTCCTTGAGAAAAAGGATCCTTTTGTTGTGTGTTTGTTTTTGTTTTTACTTTGCTTTGTATGCCCAGCACTTAGCATAGTGGCAGGCATATAGTAGCTACTTAATAAATACTTGTTTACTTATAACTAAAATGATGTAATATCTGTATAACACATTGCAAATCTTAAAGGGCTATAATGTTATAATGCTATTTTCTGCCATAGAATGCAAGCTTCTTGAGATCAGAGACTAGGGTTTTGTTTTGTTTTGCTTTTCTTTGTATCCATAGCACTTAGTATAGTATCTGGCACTTGGTAGGTGCTTAATATATGCTTGTTGACTTGACTTAACTAAAATGATATAATATTTGTACAACAAATAGCAAATTTCAAAACACTATATAAATTCTAGCAACTATCACTATATGTGCTATTTTTCGGGAGAGAATGCAAACTTCTTGAGGCGGGGACTGTTTATTATTATTTTTTTATTTCCAGAGCTCAGCATAGCATCTGGCACATAGCAGGCACTTAATAAATGCTTACTGATTGATTATTAGATCTATGTTCTAAGGTAGTTGATGTTGTGGGCATGAAGCCTTTTGGGACCACTCAACAGTTTTGATCCACTCAACAGTCATAGCCTTCATCCCTTAGCTCCAACCAGCTGCTTTACTACTTGGTAACTTGTGGGAATAGGAAGATTTTTTTAAAGAGATTTTGTGCATAATTCAGCAGAGTGGAATCTCACTGTTGGAAATATCATTTAAAATGCAAGTCCTACTGGGGACAGACAGTGAGGTGGCAGAGCAGATAGAGCACAGGGCCTGGAGTCAGGAATCTTGAGTTCAAATCAGGCTTTAGACATTTACTAGAAATTTAACCCTGCTTGCCTCCATTTCTTCACGTGTAAAATGACTTGGAGAAGGAAATGGCAAACCACTTCAATATCTCTGCCAAGAAAACCCCAAATGGGGTCATGAAGAGTTGGACATGACTGAAATGATTGGAAAAAAAGCATGGGGATAGGGATTTAACCAAATGAGAAAGTAATTTCAGAAACTGGTTTAAGAGATGAAGAGTCATATGGGTGATGAGGAAAGAGAAGACTTTCTTCCTCCTACCAACCAGAAGATATTCCTTTTTTGTACTCCAGCAGAATCAAGATAAAGAAATATCTTCATTCTTCTCCCTCTCTTACTCTTCCTTCTGGTTCATAATAAGCATTTAATAATTACTTGTTGACTGACCGAGCTACAAGGAGCATTTGAGATCATTAAGGCCAGTCCTGTTGCAGAAGGACATACACATTGTTGATCTAAATTAGTTTTAATATTAGCAGCAGGGACAATAATACAAAATAATACCTATCATTTCAACGAGCCTTTTAAAGTACCATTCCAAGGCGTCACAGAGAGCAAATGTCTTTGTTACAGATGAGAAAATGAGTCACAGAAAAGTAAAATGATTTAACCAAGATCAGATAGCAAGTTAAAGGTCCAAGTGCCCTCAATGCTCCTTAATATCCATAATATTGTAGATGGCTCATTACTACCACAGTCCTTGACTGCAGATCGTGAATCACTCTGACCCAAAGATCCAAGGTTCCCATGACATGTTCCTACATACAGATATTTTTCTAGGTCCTTTTTTATTTTTTCATGGTTTTATTTTGATTTGGTGTTTAATTTTTCCTCAGTTACATGTAAAAACAATTTTTAATATTCATTTTTCAAACTTTGAGTTCCAAATTCTTTCCCTCCTCCCAGTTAAGAAGGCAAGCAATTCAATACAGGTTATACATGTATAGTCATACAAAACATATTCATAACAGTTGTGAAAGAAATGTTGTGAAAGAAAGCATAGACAAAAAATACTCAAGGAAAATAAAGAAGGTAAAAAAAAAAGCCTGCTTTGATCTGTATTCAGACACCAGCCATTCTTTCTCTGGGGATGGATAGCATTTTTCATCATAAATGTAGGTAGCTTTTTCGAGGAAGCAAGCTGACACATTGGAGTATTGGATGGAGCATTGGATTTGGAATCACGATCAATCAACAAATAAACATTGATTAAGTACCTACTGTATTCCAGTCACTGTGCTAAGGGGCCAGGCATACAAAGAAAGACAAAAGATAGTAGATCTCAAAGATCTCATAGTCTAATGGGGGAGACATTTGTATTCAAGCTACATACAAATAAGCTACATATAGAATACATTGGAAATAATCACTAGATGGAAGGTACTAGAATTAAGAGAGGACCTAGGATGACCTAGGTTCAAATCTTACCTCAAATGCTCATTGGCTGTGTGGTCCTGGGCAAGTCACATAGGCTCTCTCAGCCTCACTTTCTTCATCTGTAAATTAGATAATAATAACAACCTATCTCATAGGGCTGTTGTGAGGACCCAATGAGATAGCATTTTAAGATTTGCAAAGCACTCAACATAATGCTATTTAAATGCTGTTTGCTATTATTTTTAGATTTCTGCAGGGGCTGAGAGATTATTTGCCCTCAGCCAATATTAAGAGGTGCTGTTGTATAGCATTTAGGGCACTGGGAATGGCATAAAGAAGACCCAGGTTTTAATCCATCCTCAGACACATGCTAGCTGTGTGCCCGTGGGTAAGTCTCAACCTCTCTATGCCTCAGTTTCCTCATCTGAAAAATGCAGCTAAAGAT